ACAGTTTTACAAACACGATCAAATACTGAAGAGGAGTCAGCCTCACATACAATCTCTGATTTATGCTTGTAAACATCACTAATCAACTATTTCGAAAACAGAAATCGATTAAATCAATTTATAAACATAACAGAAATGATTTTGAATCTGTATTCATTAACTTTTTAGTTAATTAAACATCTTATTTAACGGTCTTCTCAGCAGTAATAGATTACCGCGATGCGATTTGCCACAGTAGTATTGGGACGATTGCAACTCCGTCGAAATAATCATTAATAAATAGTGATCTTTGAAATAGGTTAGCCAAAATCTACATTTGAAAGAACATTAAGGCTATGATGAACCCCTTTCTTCCAGAATCCGTTTTATATTAAGGCCAATCCTGCTGGTTTTGATCAACACAAACGGAACACATTTATTATCATTCGATCCAAAATATCTTTAAATCGAATGAACTTCATTCACCTTCTAAAAAATCAATAACCGATTTATCTCCAAACTGCCCTTTTATTACGAAGTAGTTATACAAAATGGCAATCGTCTCTTGAAATGTTTGATACCCCAGAGAACACCAAATCGTCTAATAATGGTTGTGATAATGGGGTTCAATCGTCGCTAAACGAAATAGCAGTTGAACGTGTGAGATACCGTTCGATTGCACCCGAAACATTCAGTTAATGCCAGTGGAACCAGTGCCTTGACCTTCTGTACTTTCATTTTGAAGTATTGGACCACAAAGCTAAGTTCGCGGTTTTGGTTTACTTTCTAAAAGAGGCATTATCATTGTCACACAGATACCAAAATTATTTATTTTAAATGACATTAGGCTACACAAAATAAATGTCTTGTTTCTCGGGCAACTGACAGCTGAAACTGTAGGGGGGGAGGGCGGTTTGTTTTTTTTTTTACCTCATTTCTGGCTAGAGGATGGTGCAAAATAAAATTTGGCTATTGTTGAAAATTGTTGGGGCGGGAGGGCGGCCTTGTATTTTTTTTTTTTTTTTTAATGAGAAAGTCATTACTTGTCTACAGTTTTGCTTTCAGTTATATATTATACATACTTAGAACATAAACCCAAAAATCAAGTCTACTCAAACACTGAACACTGACTGTAAGGAAAATAATTTTCCATATTTAATTCACGTAATGTAGCTTACTAATGGTAATGGTGACAACCATAATTGAAATTGGTTTAAAATAAAATTCCGTACGACTATTAATAGCCGTCCATAATAACGACAATATTTTAAAGGGTAAGCCTCTGTCAGCATGTGTATCAAAAATAATCATCACGGTAAACGACACTTAGATCTAAATCTAGTATCGCTGGTTTATAATGATTGACCTAATTCCAACCAATGCATGTCACGTGTCATCGGGATTCGGGAAATGACTGTTTCTCAGGATATTCGGTGTGTTTCTCAGGATATTCGGTGTTCTATCTGGGGTTTATATCGAATAACTATTTAAATTTAACTAACAACTGGTCAGTAAAACCATAAAATGTGTAATCCAATTATTATTTTCCGGATTATCAAAACTACCGTTAAATGTGCTAATGACCCAGATTCTGACTAAGGTATGGTGACTATCATCGTATCGTATTCGTAGCCACAAGTTATAATAATTAACCTGTTCTACGATTCATTGTTTTATAAGTAGGATTTTTTCAAACATGGACCGACTGAAGCCGGCAATAATGAGCCGATTAAGATCGAATGATTGAAATACAATGCATTGTTGTCAATGACTTTCGGTGTTGAACACGAATTAAATTCTAGTTCACAAGGGGAGGTAATTAAAATCACGTGATACAAAAGTGGAGGTTCTTTCGATATCTATAAAAATGACCCGTAAATGAGCGTTTACATCTGAATCAGTTTAATACATTTGAATGGATATTCACGTATGGGGCATGTAGATACATGCGGCATATTCTTTTTATGACTTGCTTATCGATGTTCGGGCGGGCGTTACATATTTTTTATTTTTCATCAAGACTAATAAATAGGCCGCACGCGCAACCAATTTTGCGTGCGGGCGGTGCCCGAGAAACAACTTATTTTATTTGTGTTGCCTTATATTTATGTTTACATCCATGTACTGACCTACTTATAAAACGTATTATGCTCGACTAATTAATTGAAACGCATGTGTCTCAGCAAATTTGTGTTAATGTAAGCCGTACAGTCAAAGTGTTCAAATAAACTAGATACTCACAATGTAATCACGATTGCAATGGTATTTTAGTGTACAAGTAAAACGCAGCATGGCATTGTGTATTTTGAAGTAAATGATCATAGACTGTCAAATATTTGCCTAATCAACAACTGAATCAAGTCGCCAATGATTTCCATTAAGAAGCACATAAACAGACCACATGCCCGATCGCGAACGAGCGAGGTCCAGGAATAAAAATAGTTGTTTTTAAGAAATGAACCGTTTGCTAATATAGTACTCCCCCACAATCAATAATAGCTATTTTCGTCATTGGCAACAAATTAAACAGGTCTTAAATTAATCGCACCCTATTTAAGGGTTCTGATATCTTGATTGGAAAGGATATCGATTAATTGGGGGCGACTATCAGTTTTTGTGTTTAGGTTTATCGCCTTTAGTGAAGTGGAAGTCTTGTGTCAATCAAAGTTACGACGAGAGTGGTTGTTTTCTGTCTATAACAGCTATGTTAAATGGCATTACACAAAAAGCTTACTTTACTGATGTAAAATGATGTGACAAATGACACTGGCGAAAATTATTTTTGTGGTGAAAATGTTTTAAAGTTGATTTTAAGGACACATTTAATATTAAAAAAAACAACACATACTTGACATTTCCTTTTCAAGTGCGACAGCCACTGTAGCTCAGTGAGTAGGACGTTAGCTCGCTAACTTTGAGGGATGGAGGGCCTGGCAAGGGGCAACGTATAGTTGTTTGGATGGTCACGTGTACACATTGGCGTGCATGTAAATGAACCCCTGACAATTGAAATTCGAAATAAGAGTAGGCCATGCCGTATGACAGTTTTCATTAAAATGTTGGGCGAGTGTTGCATGTTTACTTGTATGTTACTTCCCGTGTGCGTATCTCAAGATTTTCATGGTGAACATCATACATGCTTCTGATTAAGAGGTTGCCACGTATTGCTACATCTGTGGTTGAAAGCGTTCAACCCCACGACAATTTGGGAAACGGTTAGAGCCAGTCAAAGAGACGAGAATTAACATTGAAGTCAATGGGGAAATTAACGGTGTATTGTGTTCATATGATAACATGTATCCATATATATATACCCGCTTCAAGAACGACTGCTTTATATGCGTCACTTCCACCAAAAAGATAACATAATTATTCAGATGATTGCTATGGCAAAAGGTCGATCTTTTTCTCTGGTATCCTGTGATTCAGAAAGACAATGGCAGTTGCTATGGAAATTATTGTAGAATATGATAAAATTAATATAATTAAGATGATTGTCTTTTTAGCCGCAATAATGTGGAATAAGTACGGTTATCTTCTAGAAGGTATTCATTCAGCAATCAGTTTTCTCTCATATTTAGTTAGGGGTTGTTTAAGCCATAAATAAGTCGAGGTTTAACCCAACAATCAGTGTCACAAAAAAGAGAATATCCATAAAACAATCTTCTGGGCACAAAACCAACATTCATATTTTGAATTGATTCATAACTATGTATTATTTATGAAGAGTCTAACCTTATATGGCTGTTCAATCCGCCAAAAGCCAATCATGGAAATGTCAAGTCTTCTTGTTATATGATCGCTTCTGGCCTCATGACAACCAAACATAAACATGGTTTTATAATTAAAGATATTTTTTCTATTATAGAAATCAGTACACAGTTCAGAAGCAATGGTTAAAATAGTTTCTTCACCCATTTTCCGTGACTACATATTTTTCTGAAAAGTAAAATGTTATATTTCTATGCATATTGTTGTTTATTTGTGTGGAAATATTTGGGAATTATTTGTTATTTCTATTCTTAATATAGTAAGAGAGTTATAGGTTTGTTATTTTCTTAGTCTAAAGCTACCGTGCTAGTTTCTTGGATGTAAAATCTGATAAATATACCCATTTTACGATTTTGATTACATCAACTTCTTATTGCAATATAAATCTATTTAGGAACTGATTATTGATATTCTTGCGTAACTTATCCACGCCACAAATTAGCTAGCCATTTATTACGAAACCTTCCCGATTAGATTACTTTCTTTTGTGGTTGCACTGTTTGAGGTTTGTGTGTGTGTAAGAATAAGATATAACGTTAACATATGTGTTTGTAATGGTGGTGTGAAGTAGTTGTATATGCGTTCTGGGTGGATCATTCCTGCCTACATCGTATTAGGCTGTGTCTTTCTATGGTATCTCTAACATATTATTTCAATAAAATGTCAGTATCATTTTCTAGACCCCAGATAGAAGTTCCCCTCTGATTTTCAATCAAAGAATGCTTGATTGTCTATATCGTTCAAAATGAGGTTTCTTTGAAACGGTTCTCTATGTGATTGATAACAAAAGAACACCAGCATACTAAATAGGACCAGGGAAGTAGGAGTTAATTTACGTCGTATACAAAAAAGAATGATGGAATGCCTTGTGCAATTGCTAGAAACAATAGATCAGGCAGAACATTTCTAATCTTCAACAATTAGACAAGAAACCTCGTAGGCTTATGTTAGCGTGATAATGTATTAATTCCATTCAAAGTCTGATATATCCGAGTCAAATTTTGCTTTGATGAAATCCCTCCACGGGTATCTATAGTCACGAAAGTGGTAATATATCTAAAACTAGAAGTCGACAAGAAGATGTCTTCTTCTTTCACGTGTTTCATCTTCTTTTAAGTACATCAAACACTTAAGGATCCAAACCTTGTCGTCTGGGTTATATCGTTTGAATTGTGCTTGAGTGGATAATTTAAAATCTCCGGCGGCTTTTGAAAGCAATTCCTTTAAGATCGTCTCTTATTTTTTTACAGATTTGTCTCCCGGAAGATATAAAGACGTAGAGGCCTTGGACAAATTAAGAACTATAAAAAGGTATATTGATTATACTTTCCTTTGTTAGCAATGTATGAATACTATTACGCAAAAGCGGGTATCAATAAAGAAAGGGATCCCTTTCAATTCTTTATTATATTGACTGATGTTAATCAATTACTATTTTTAAGAACAATGGGAAAACACCAATTCATTTATAGCCTATATAAAACTGACTGGCATTTGGTAATTTATTACACTTCTGACCAAAACGTCGACCAGACAAGAACGGACGGAAAGCCACTATTATTGACTGGGAGATAATTAAGATCTGACTATAACATCAGAGTTGAATGGCTTTTCTGGAAACGTCTATAAATATCATCTATAAATAAAATTACTTTTAGAATGTACAGATTTATACGTCTAAATTGTAATAATGCATATTTCAATAATTCTGTATGACCGTCCGTTGTCTGAAATTCGAGTCTTTTTTTATAATCGCCAAGATTGCCTAGATATTCGACGAATTCATTTGATATGCAACGAATTGTGACTTTAAAGCACTGAGTTGCTCCTTATTAACTCACTAGAAACTACGTTTAATATCCTATATGGACATTACATAGGTTGGCTTATTACACTTGCTGGGGGGGGGGGGGGGCTTTTATGAAACCTCGTTAACTTATGTTCATTTGTTAAGAAACCTAGTGTTCACAATAAACATGGAAATATTTTAGTTTTCATGGAAGATGGTAATCTCTAATTTCCGTTATCCTGGCTACGCCCGTTCGTTACCACAGTAGTCCTTATCAATTAATTTTACAATGTTTCGTTGTGACATCAAGTACAAGAAAAGCTGCTTGTGGGCGAATGTTACATTTTCTGGCAACCTATGTATAGCTAAGATTTGGATATATATATATATATATATATATATATAATCAAATTAGTAAATTGAATATTTATCTTTATTATATTTCTCATCCGATCTAATTAATAAATTGAATATTTGTCTTTATTATATTCCCCATCCGATCTAATTATTACATATTAGGATGATTGGTGTTATTAACTCCTATTTTGGGGAATTTATTGGCTATTCGGTTTGGTAGCCCTAAACATGTTAGTAAGCGATGATGCTGGGCTTATGGTAATGATTATGTAAATGATTATTAGCATAGTTTCAATGCATAACTGATTGGCGCACTCCCGCCCATTGTATTACAGTAGGCGACCAAAATATATTTTTCTGAATAAAAGGGGTTAAGAATCAGAAAAATGCATCCTAGTCCTGTACAGCAGTCTGAATTTCGGGGATACCTTTTTGCAGAAATACAAACTTTCGGTTCCTTAACGTAGTTTGCAATACGTTCCTAAATTTCATCCGCTTTGAAAATTATGCTTTCAAGGGATCATAAGGAAAGAAGTAAAACCGATACTTTTACAATAATTTTTGGTGATGCGCGTGGTCAAAAGCCCAAATGTAACAGGTTTATATTACTTGTAGGTAACAAAAGCAGAAATATGAATATTACTTGTAGATAACAAAAGCAGAAATATGAAACCAGCATCTAACATTTTTAAAATCTTAAAGGCATCTAAATATATGCCTAACACAGTCCACCTAATATCATCCGTTCTTTCCGTTTAAACTTGAAATCGAAGCGTATGGTATTATTCCCCGCAGATCTGTCATTCAGAAGTTGAATTTTATTGTCTGGATATTGTACTTTTGTTGGCTTTTATTTTACGCTTCATAAACACATCGAAATAATTCCCCAGTGGAAAAAGATAGTGCCATAAATTAACATTATATATTTTCTGTTACAGACGGGTTTCATTTAAGAATAACCAGAGGGAACCATTAACATGTCGAGGCTGGCATTCTCCGTGTATACCTTGGACTTCAGAACCAGGAGATGGATGCTGTACAAATGGTGGTCTAGTATGTCGGTGTAATTTATGGATGCAAAACTGTCGTTGTGTCGCGAGAACGTGGGGTTAGCTTCGGATATGCTACATCTCATTAATGAGACAAAACTAACCAAACCAAGAAATTTGTAGAGATCCTGTTTTTTTGTGTTTTTTTTTTTGTTTTGTTGTTTTGATTTTTTTTGTAATTCCGATGTAGATGATAATTTGTTCGTTTTCTTTCCCTTCCAAGGAGTAATTTTTTTGTCAGTCACGATTGTTAAATGTGGATCCGAAATTCGATAGACAAACGACTGATAAAACGATCTATCTATGGAAACGGTAAAGCGAGAACTAATTTGACATCAGTGAAAAATATAAAGACTATGATATCGCCTTATTCAGATCACTCTTTATTTTGTTATCTTCGTCTGGTAACCGAAAGCTATAATTTTTGTTACCTTTGTTCACTCAGAAGTTCTAAAAAATATCCCCTGATTTATCCTCTAATTTCACGATTATTTATTCTGATTCTTAAATCCTTGCCATTTTAATAAAACATATCTGTGTAGGCGTGGGTTGTTGCCTTTTTTTTTCTATTCCGGGACGTGGCTCAGTGGGTATAACGTTGGCTCGCTAAGCCGGAGATCTTGCGTTAGCCGAGAAAGTTTACCGGATTTTTCCGGCGTGATTCCTCCTCGTCATTAATGCAGGACTGGCAGGGGACAAGGTGTGGTAGTTGGCAGTTGAAAGTCGATATAAGAGTAGGCATTAGTGCCGCTGTCAGGGCAAAATTTCCCTTATACCACACTGTATGGCGTATGCCCACCTTCATTATGCCCAGTCGGAACATAACAGTAGGACGTTTAACCCTATTTCATTTCATTTTCATTTCTATTCCGGGGCGGGAATTGGGCAATTCGGACATTATCCTCAAAATCATATAGACCTGACAAAATGTCTGATGACCACGCTATTCGAGATTAGACTTTTTATGTCTATGTCAACGTTATAAGGAAATGAAATGCGGTTTAGCGTCACGTTATAAGGCGAAATGAGTTGTTCAATATATCACTTAATACATATATCTTCCTTGACATAAATCAAGAATAATCGATCCGAACCAGTACAAAGTCAAAGAAAGTAAATACATATGACCTTGCTCCAAACCATTTCCTTAAATCAGAGCTTATCTTCATTTGTTAGATAAGAGGTCATGGGGGGTCAGCTGAAGAGTATTGTATATAAATTGGAGTGTACATGTTCAAAAGATAAACCCACAAAGGAAACTGAACGGTTAGATTGAACAAGGCTCTCTCGTGAGGATGTCTGACTGATGGGTGTTATATTTGTTCACAACATGAGATATATTCCACATGACAGTCACAAATATTAGTATAGATGAAGGGCCGGGTATGATCAGTAGAAGGACCCACCTCAGTACTGTATAATCCCTTTTTTTCTCGAAAGATTTTTCCCAAAAAGAAGAGAATCTATTCTATTGGTACATTGTCACTAAATATTAAAAGTCTATCTAGGGTTTTACGTTCAGTCATCAAACACTGGGTAATTTCTTGTCACCCACTGCATCAATTACATATCACAAATAGCCATAGGAGGTCGAGGATAAGTTGCCATGAGATAATGTCGGGGATTCTTCTTCGCTCTAGATTTATCATGAGCCACATTAAAAAAAAATCCCTTTAATTTGAAGTTAAAAGTCGTATCCTTGTCAACACATAATGCACCTGTAAAACATATTTTTCATCAAATAAAGCTCAAACTTGATTACTGAATCATAGGCCCGGATTCAATTCTGTAGAGGACACTTTGGTAGGTCTAATCCAAACTTTGCGAATACAGTCAACTGATAGAATTAAGATTCTTGCCATCTACACATTACTATGTACAACTAAAGATAATCCGTGGACATATTTCGCAGAATCTGAGATTTCTTTGACAGACCATTAAGGATCATTTTGGTTGACGCACATTAGTCATGCTAGTGTTACAAACACCGGGGCATATATGGGTAGGGTTGTAATGAAAGCAATTCTGAACTTATCCCTAAACGCATGTGGCTTGAGCTTGGTTTACTAAATTGCCATACCTAACTCTGAAATAACCAAAGATGATACACATTCAAGTTTTAAAGGTTCTCGACAATATCTGTGCCTAAACAGAACTATGGCGTGGAGTAGAGTTGGTTTACATTTTTCCATAAATAGCTGGAATGTCTAAAAAAAAACCACACACACATTAGTAAGCCCGAACGTCACACGATTAAAATCACAAATGCTAAATTATAGAGGAAGATTAAACATGCATTATGCAAGAGCTAAATCTGCCTATTGCAGGCCTTTCTTTAGGCCTGAAATGTTATCTAAATTATTAATTAAACATTAATTAACTTATCCAGACCATAATCAACTCTCGGTGGTATCGCTAGCCTGTGATGTTTATTGGATTAGGTTCCGATTTCCTGTTCGACTTCCATTCATAATTTAATCAATAAATGGATATTCGAGGCTATGTTTTTTATCCTACCGACTTTAGTAATGTTGATCGAGGCTAGACCGAAAATTCAATCGCCAAATTCTCGGTTGATAGTGGATCAATTTGACTGAAATTTTCAGCAAATCCCCTTTAGTTGTTAACTATTATAGTGAGAACTACCAGCTCTTTATCTAATCTCGCATAATGTATCTTTAAAGAAGTGGTGCCAGTATATATTTGAGCTAAAGGTTAATTTTGTGTGAAAGACTCTTAGAGTCTAGATAACCACATTTATTGACTACCATGTTTTATTAGGTCACTTATTATCCATAAACAATGAACATAATGTTTATGCTACGTAACATCTTTAAGGATAAGTAGTGTTGCATACTTAAAATCACTTTTAACCACATATATCCTTTGCCATCTGGGACTACACCTCTGATTTTGACTTATGAATAACCGAAACTGAAATTCCAAAATATCATACTTGGTTCAAATGTAACAATGTAAACACCATCGTTCGCCTTGATGCTAGTGTAAAAGGCTGGCCTAGAAGAAGAAATTTATCTGAAATGAACTGGTTTAATGTCACATTTTTCTACAATAACCGTGCTAATGAAGATGGGCAACTTTATAATGAGCTAAAGTTTTAAAAAATTGTCTAAAATATTAACTTCACTCTCGAGTATAGCATTGATGACGCCCTTCTCTAAATACTGCTAACTTTGGCGATTATATAGTTTCTATCTGCCCTGGCTATTTGGTACGTGTTTATTTAATCCATGTAGGAACTGTTATATAATCTTGAGGCAGATCAGAAATGGAATGTTAAGCTCTGTAATAAAAGAGATGGTTTTAATTTTACAATAATTAGTACTGAACATTTGATATGCCTCAATATACCAAAGATTAGTTGTTCCCAAAAACACTGTACACCGTATGGTGACTTCTTGACAAGAGGTATATAATAATGTCTGAGATATATAATGGGTCATTCCATGTCAAGTGGGTCAGTTTTCAGAAATTTGAGAATTCGACCCCCTCTAAAAAAAATATGGAAAAAAATATATGTATTGTACTTGCAACAACTATAGAAACTGTGCAAAATTTGTGGTCTAAAGCATTTGAGTTTCATGAGTTACTGAGAAGTTTTCGAAACAAAATATGTATCAATAATTTACTCGAGTTTCAGATATCTTGTTTTTACCTTTCTAGTAAAGATATACAGTCCAAATTAGGTACCGTTAGAGAACTTTGTGTGTAGATTACGAATCTACAATCAGATGACAGATGAGTGGTTGGGTTCGCATGCTACTTGGCCATGAAAACCGAAAACAATTTGGTGTATTTGTATATTTTCTGGATTTTGTAGTGCTCAAGGGGCTACAAGGTAATAGATATAGACCCATATTTTGGCCTATTAACAGTAGTACTATATTAGATTCCAAGAAAATTGGCCTCGAATATGGTTTTAAACACAATTTTTCGATAATTGCTTCGTATTTTCGAGCCGATAGAACCCGGTAGATGAGCACCTAAAATTCTTAGACTTAGTGTAATTATAGTTTGTACTAATGTCTCCAACATATGTTAAAGCCATTCTTGTCCCATGCCATCTCGATATTTTTATACGCCCACATTTTCATGTGGACGTATATTGCCGTCGCCCCTGTCCGTCCTTCCGTCCACAATTGTTCGTGGACTCTCTACAGGTCACAATTCTTATCCGATTTTGGCGAAACTTGAAATATAGGTTTATCCCAAAAAGATCTCGACTGCTTTCGATATTGGCATGTATCGGATCCAAACTTCATGGATTACGGCCCCTGATTGTCCGAAAAATCGCCTTTTTTAGCTTGTGGTCCCTCTTGAGGTCACAATTATTATCCGATTTTAAAAATCGTTTGAATATATCACCGTAACACCATAATAAAGGTTGAGTTAGAATTTCGTGAAAATCGGAACAAAACTGTCGGACGAAATGGCCGTCGCTTGTACGCGAATAGTGTAATAATATCAAGGTTGTGGACCCTGTATAGATCACAGTTTTAATCCGATTTTGATGAAACTTGACATGTTTGTAACCCAAAGATGTTGGTTCCTTTCGATATTTTCGCATATCGAATCGTAACTTCCTGAATAATGACCCTGATTGTACGAAAAATCGCCTTTTTAGCTTGTGGTTCCTCTTGAGGTCACAATTGTTATCCGATTTAAAAAAAAACGTTTGATTATATCACCGTTACTCCGTAATAAAGGTTGAGTTCGAATTTCCTGAAAATCAATCCAAAACTGCCGGACAAAATGTCCGCCGCTTGTACACGAATGCTGTAAAAATATGGTATATCAAGGTTGTGGAGCCTGTAGAGGTCACAATTTTAATCCGATTTTGATGAAATTTGAAATGCATGTTTAAAACCCAAAGATCTTGGTTCCTTTCGATATTTGCGCATATCGAATTGTAACTTCATGAATTATGACCCTAGATTGTAGGAAAA